ATCATCATTAGCCATCAGGGAAATCCAAATCAAAACCACATTGAGATACCACCTTACACCAGTTAGAATGGCAAAAATGGACAGGGAAAGAAACTGCCACAGCTTCTTAACTGGCTGCCTCCAATTCTGTCCTACTCCCGTCCCGTCTCTTCAATACATCTAGGATTTCAAAACTGTCAATCTGGTTGTCACTCTTTTGCTTAAAACCTTTCAAAACTGCTTAGCCCTTGCTCTCTGAGTAAAGGGTGAACCCCTGAGCTGGCTTCAAGGCCTTTTGTGATGACCCCATCTTACTGCTATAGTCTCTCACCACCCACCCTCCAGCTTCATCACATACACACATGTGCGTGTGCACCCACACTCCCAAGTGTTCCACTGGATCATGTTCTCCTGCTCTCCTTTGCCTCCAGGCCTTTGTATGTGCTGTTCCCTCTACCTGTGGTACTCCATTCACTTTTTACCAAAGGATGAAACATTAATTCATCCTCTCGGCACAGACACTGCTTCCAATCCATGGCTCTTTTCCCACTCCCGCAAGTCTGGGTTGGTTGTCTGAAGCAGATGCTGCTGTTGGCTGAATCTATATGTCCCTGGGTCCTACCTGAGGCTTTCCCTGGCGACTTGATCACCCTCTTCCCTAATGCATGCCAAGTCAAAAACCCAGGAAAATGATTATGTCCAGAACCCAGCAGTCTGGAACCAATGAGGGACCAAAGTTGGTGTATAAATACTCTAGTGCCCTCACTCCATGGAGATTAAACTCCAACCACCTTCAGTGGTCACAGGCTTGATAATGAACCTTAATTGGCCACCTGCTCTTCCATGTATCCATTCTTCCCTCTCCTCTTGGTGCTTCCTGGGATCACTTCCTGAATAATCTACTTGTGCTCTAATGTCTCCGTGTTTCCTTTGGAGGGAACACCCACTAAGACACTGCCTCTCCTCTGCTCTCCCATAGCGATCATCATGTCAGTAACCACATTGAACGGTAACTGCCTCCTTGTCAGTGTGTCTTCATCATTAGTTGTCTGTTTCATACATCTCATGTATCCCCAGTAGCTACCCCAGTGCCAAGCAGATAGTAAACATGGTCAACACCTCAAATAGATGCTTGTAAATAAATGGGTCATTGACTAGATACATGGATGTGGGGAAGTAGGCACAAATGGATAAATGGATAAATGAGTAAATGAATGAATGAATCCTTTCAATTAGACTGACAACTTGACCTGTTCCCCTAACAGTACTATACTATCATTAATTTCTGGGCCAAGACTTGCCTTTTTTGTGGAATCTTCATCAGAATCTGATCCTGGAGGCTGGTCTTTCCCAGAGTCTCTCAAAAAAAAGGACTTTCTTTTCCTTTTACCAAAAAGCTTTCTCTTCTTTGGGGAAAAAGATGATGCTTCAAGGGAATTAAGTGAACTTCTGTCAATTCCCATGGCAACCAGAGCCTTAGAAAGTGAACAAAAGCAATTAATAAACAGATTATACCTCCCCATAAAATGCTGCAAATGACCCAAACTTCGCAAGTGTTCTCTCCTCTCTTCTGGAAGCATCATACCATTTAGATTGTTCATCATGTACTTGGAATATGCTAGCTTTGTTATTATTTATCAGAGGCACATATCCTGTTTGTTTACCCACAGAAATTGCAGCCTCAAAGGCAAGGTTAACTCTTTCATATCTCTATCACTAACTCTGAGCACAGAGTCCAGTATGTGCTAGGCACTCAATAAATATTAGTGCCTGATGATGCAGGTATTAGGCAGGATGGGCTCCCCACTGACGAATCTCTGTGGAGCATGAGAAAGAACATGTTCCTGAAATCTTAGAATGGGAAAATGATACCAAGGAAACAATGAGAATGGGCTATAAATATGACAGGAATTTCAAGAAGGGAGAGGTGATCTCAGCTATTGTCTTTAATGGTAGAACACCATTACTGCTTTCCCAAACCCTGCCAAGCAAAGGCCCTGAACACATACATCTCCAGATTCCCATAAGAAATCCTGGACCAGAGCCTTAGTTTACATATATGTACATTTTATCCTCTAGCCAGCAGTCCGGGGTCTGTCCTAGAAGGCCCGGATTTCAGAAAATCTAGGGTTCCTGGTTCTTAAGAGCTCTGTGCCTGGACTTCATAGTGAGAGACAGCAGCAGAGCCAGTGTTCACAGGGCTTCAGTTCCCAGAAAAGCACCAGTAGAGAAAGCTCTGAGATCAGGTCTCATGGCCTCTGCAGTACGCCCCCACCCAAGCAGACCCCACCATCTGACACTGCGTGCCCTTACCTCCTTCTCCTCCTTCAGCAGCCGCTGGGCTTCCTGGAACATCTTCTCCTTGGCCTCTGTCTCAGCAGCTACATTTCTGTTCTGTTCCTCATAAGCCATGGTGACAACAGCCAGGGTTAAGTTAATCAGGTAGAAAGAGCCCAGGAAGATGACCACCACAAAGAAGAAAACTGAGTAGAGCCCTGAGGCACGCAAGGTCTGCAAAGAACAGAGCACACACTTGCTTCTAAAACCTTTTTCTACAGAGGGGGCACCGTCACCTCAAGCAGACATCATACAGTTGCAATCGGTCCTCCTCCTCGTCTATAGCCTCCCATCACCCAGGGACTCTTGATGCCCATCAGTGAGCAGATGCCATCCTTATATTCCCACTTAAGACATGGTACTTTGCTATGACTTTCTCAAGGGTAGTTGCATTTTAGAATTTAAAAGGCAGGAGAGAAAGGAATGCTTCATGAAAACTGAAGCGCTGGTGGTGGAATCCGGAGAGGGCTAACGTTTCTAGGAAGAGGAGATGGTTTTTTATGTTTCTAACAGAATATCTAAGGTAGAATTTAACAGTACAACTATTGAGGATGATAAACAGATGACAAAGGAGGAGGGTAGATGATAAGTTATGAATAAATGACAGAAAGATGAGTGATAGAGAGGTAGGAAGGAGTGGAGGGGGGAGGGTGGAAGGAGAGGGGGGAAGGAGAACGAGAGAGAATTAGATAACCTGTTGATAAAGCTTCTCCCAGGAATCTTGGGTCATAAGCCGAAACATGGCAAGAAAAGACCAGCCAAAGTTGTCAAAATTGGTATAATTATAGTCAGGATTCCTTTTGGTGTGTGTGCATTGAAAATTTTCAGAACAGGCACTAGATGGAAACAACGGAACAGAGGAGGAATTACGTTCCCTGCAGGCCAGTTTCCCTCCCACCCCCCACCCATCCCAGCCAAGGCACCAGCTCTTCTGAGGGCCACGGGCTCATAAGGGAAAGTCCTGGGTGCAGACTATTTATAGAGGGGCCATGCCCCACCTGCCAAGCCTTCCAGCCTATCCCTTACTGAGGGCACTCACTGACTCTTTTCAGATGGATTGATTAGTAAGCTCATATCAGCAGGTTTTCATTAAAAATTAAGTGCAGTGATACAGTGAACAATTAGTGGTAATAAAGGGCAAGAGAAACACATATGCACCAGTATACATCTTTTACAATACATATATGAGATTGTTCTTTGACTATTCTCTTGAGCCTTGCTTTTTTCATGGAACAATATAGCTTGGAGGTCTTTCCACACAAGCTATACAAGGAAATATTTCTTTTCATGTCTTATAGTTCTATGATTTATTTAATTGCTCTGCTAGTGGTGAAGATTTAGGGTTTCAGTTGTTAACAGTCTTTTGTTCTCATTACCATTTGGGTCTTATTTTACAAACAGTAGATCTCTTGCACATAGGTCTTTGCCCACATCACCAAAGCACACATCATTAAGTGCATCTATCAGATAATACTAAGGGTAGATACTTTCTTCATTTTTAATAAATATACTATTTTGATCAAAGTAATACATGCATGTGGTTTAAAAATCATGTGGCACCAAGCGGCTTGTAATGAAAACCATTCCATCATTCTTTAATTATCATTTACACACTGCCAAGTCAACAACTTTCAACTTTTTATGTCCATATCTTTAAAGATAACATTTATGCTGATATATACCAATTTTAGTCCTTGGTGATTAAGTTCCTGCTAAGATGAGAGTTAGCTCCTCAATATCCCATCCCACTTATCACTACTTATATCCCTCGTTTCAAAAAATACTGTGGCCTGTGTCAATGGCTCTCTGGGGTTGGATACGTTTTCTCCTTGGCTCTTGTGTGTTGCTTTTTCCAAGTTTTACTTTCTCATTTTTCTGGAACAAATTTCAAGTGGCTTCTTAAGAAGACTGGGTGATCTTTGCATATGTGAGTATATCTTTATTCTACCTTCACAGCTTGATTGATTGTTTGGCCAGAAGTAGAAATCTGATTTGAAAGTAATTTTTCCTTAGAAATATGAAGGCACTGTGCAGTTATTATCCTGTGTGGCTGTTGAGAATTCTGATGCCATTTTGATTTTTGTTCCTTTGTGGGTGACCTTTTTCTCTTTGGTTTTAGAATCTTTTCCCCGAAAGTCCACAATAATGCACTTGGCATGGACCTTCTTCACTCATTGTGTTGGGCACCTTGTGGGATGCTGAGGGACTTGCATCCTTAAGCTCAGGAATATTCTCTGTATTGTGGCATTGCTAATTTTCTCCCTTTTGTTTTTTCTGTGCCCTATTTCAGGAATTTCTATTTAGTCAAAAGCTGGAACTTCTGGTTTGATATTTATTCTCATATTCTCTGTCTCTGTCTTTTGTTGCTACTTTCTGGACTATTTCCTCTACTTGACCTTTTAATTCTATTACTGATATTTTGTAATCATGTTACCAAAAAAAAAAATCTTTCTTGCTTAGTGACTATTCCTTTTTCATAATGAGCTATTTTTGTTTTTATGCATATAATATCTCTCTTAATTCACTGAGGACCCTATTTAAAGTTTTAAAAGTCCTTTTTTGTTCTCTCTGAACTGTTGCTTTGTCCATGGTTCTTATGGCCTGAATGTTTGGGTCCTCCTGAAATTTTTGAGTTGCAGTCCTAATCTCCAATGTGATGCTGTTGGGAGGTGGGGCCTGTGGGTGGTGATTAGGGTGGGAGGGTGGAGCCCTCATAATGGGATTTGCACCCTCATAAAAGAGACCCCAGAGAGCTTCCTTTCTGCCATGGGAGGACACAACAGAGAAGACTGCCACCTACAGCCAAAAAGAGGGCCCTCATTAGAACCCAACCAAGCTGGTGCCCTGATACTGGATATCCAGCCTCCGGAACTGTGAGAAATAAGTTTCTGTTGTTTGTAAGTCACCCAGTCTACAGTATTTTGTATAGCTGCCTGAACTATGACAATGTTCATTTTTCCTGTTTCTTTATCTCGGCCCCCTTTATGCCAAAGACTTTCTTCAGCTATCTGGTGAGCCTGGGCTGTTCAGTCACATTTAATCAGAGGTCCTGACAAGTTGATTGGGAGTTTGCTTGGTGGGCAGAGTAGGACTCAGTGAGTGGTAGGCTTTGCGTTAGGGTGACTCAGAAGGAAGACATCCATTGTGCCTTCTTCCCCACCAGACCTCAGTGAAACCCTGTGAAGTCCCAGCACCCTTATTTTCCAGGAATCTATTGGGGCTGAACCTAACATACTTGATTTATCTTACTTCTTGGTCACCATTCAAGATATTAGCTTGTTTTGTCCAATATCCCCCTGTCTACATATGCCTTCCTGTCAACATATACAGGTAATTAAGTCTCTCCTCCAGTGGTCCCATCTCGGCAAAAACTTCACCAGTCATTCACCCCAGAAGCAAGAGAAACACCTCTAACAGTTTTCTCCCCTCAACACATCCACCACCCTCCCACACATACACTTGAGCACAGTGTACATGCCAACCCCCTTCTTCAAGTCACTATCTTGTTCTTTCTGTCTCCTAAATGTCTTTGGAATTCATCCATCCATTTCTCATCATCTCCACTGCACTGCTTCGTGACTTTCATCTGTATCAACCTAGTCTTCTAAGTGGCTGCCTTATCTGCTCTAGGCATCCATTCTCCACATAGCAGCTGTAGTGACTTTTACAAACAACTAATCTGCTCAGGTCTTGTTTCCTTTGTGATCAATGTAAAAATCCTTGGCACTGATGGGCTACCAGGTCTTGCAGTGTTAGTTCTAGTCTCCTGCCTCTGCTTAAGAAGCTGCTGGGCTTCTTACTGCCCCTGAGCTCATGCCCTCAGGCCCAAAGCCTCCCCCCTTACTATTCTGTGGACTGAAATTGTTCACTCTATATCCTCACCTACCAGAACCTCCTACTCATGCTTTAGATCCACATTGTGGTCACCAGTCAGTTGGTTCTCAGGGAAGGAGGCAGCAAGTAAAGGCTGAAAACCAGGCCTGGGCCCTGGACAGACAGAGAACTGCCTATGAAGGTGACCTTAGACCTGCCATCTCCTTGGAAACTACTGTGTTATGATCAATGGGGAAGGTCATGTACTAGGAGTTGGTCTTCTATAAAACTCCTGAGCTTTGAGACTACACCTAGACTGGAGAGCTATGATTGGTACACAAGCTTAGAGAGATGAGGACACGATAAGGACCAGTTAGAAGCCAAGGCTACTGTGTCTATGTGTCCAAGTGGCCGACCCCACCTTGGATTTTGCCTACAGTAATTGTACTTACCCTGTGTGGGGTAAAGGAAGCACTGTATGTGACAGCTGTTGGTCCCCTCATTAAATGAAAGCACTGTGGATGCAGTGTGTCCTGTTGCAGATCATTTTAGAGAACTCAGTAAACCTTTTATTAGAATAAAGTCTATGATGTCTTGTGAGTTTGACTGAATCTGAACCTATGACGACCCAGGTGGCATTAGAGGACACTTCCCTCATTTTATAGACAGGGTTATACCCTCTGTTCAATTTCTCTCAGTACCTACATGTCTCTCTTAAAACACTCATCACACTTTCAAGGAGTCATACACACTTTCTCTCCTTCCTGTGAGATGCCAGATTCAAGAGGAAAGTGATCTCTAGCTCATATTTGCATTCGTTGGGGCTACCACAGAATTTGGTATGCTATTAGCCTTTGATACATATTTGTTATTGAGGAACAAATTTAGCCTATTTTATCAGAGTGACTAGCATATTATCTTAATTTGAAATACACTAATTAAATCATCCTGAATTGAATTTCTCACCACAGAGAGCACTGATACTCTGGAAGAAAGAAGGGTATCCCTAAAGGGCCAGAGAGCTATGAGCCTCTAGGGTGAATGTGTATGAACACACGTACAACTGTATATGAAATTAGAGGCAGTGGTGATCAACACATGAGCAAACAGAGGAAGATGTTCAGATAGTCTTGCATCAGGTCCATGCCACTGGACAGGAAATAAGGACTCCACGGGGCTCTCAGTCATAATGTTCTTCCTACCCTTTGAAAGTCTTGAATACCCATTTCACAAAGTCAAAATATCACATTTTCAGTAGGTTTCTTCAGCTATAAATTCAACATGACTTGGAGAAAGCTACTCTAAACACTTGGAAATAATTATTATAATATTAACTATAATTAAGTGTATAATTTTACTATTAATTTTTAAATTAATGAATTAATTTTATTATTAATAATTATAATAATGAATTATTAATAACTTAATAATGCATGTCTAAACTTGCCTAGACACATGAAATAATCAGTACTGTTTGCCACATTATCCCAAAAGGTCCACCGGTACTGTGCTTGGGAGAAAAATGGAGATATGAACCTCTTACCTGTTACCCATCCAGATGCCACACATTCTGAATTCAGAGGAATTTTTCTTTTCAAAGCAATTGTCTGAGAAGGAAAGAATCATAAATTCAGATTAAAAAAACAAACCTGAAAGGAAAGACAATAGGAAATATGCCAGATTTGCTTGAAATGAAGGGTTTGGAATCCTCTGAAATGATCAAAGTGGATGGCCAGAGAGGAACCAGAGCCTAACCCCTCAGGAAGGAGTAAGAGAAAAGGAGGGAAAGGAAGAAGGAAGAAGGAGGAGGAGGAGCAAGCAGCGACACCACCATGCCCCTGAGGCCCCTCAGTGCATAGAACTGCAGCAGAGGCCATGCCCTGGGGGAAGCTGGACACAGACTCAGCCCAAGACAGTAATGGAGAGGGCTTAGCCACATGAGATCCCGGACACATGAAATTGCTGTAGGGTTGACTTCAGTGTGGAGAGGATGCAACAGGAAAAGAAGTGATATCATTGGAGAAAATACCCAAGGAGGAGGGCTGGGAAGTTGCTGGACAAATGCAGGCATTCTGAAGACTTCTGCAAAACATGACAAAGAATCAGGCAGATCCATAGGGGAAGAGATAGGAGCTGACACCACTTGTGTGGATGTGGCTGCAGGCTTTGCCTTCTCCATGGAAACCCAAAGAACGAGGCAGTGCTCTAAGAATGCATCTGTCTGCATGAGAACTCTGGATGGATGAAGTCATCCTTGCTCCTAAGAGACTCTGTAATGCAGATCTATAGATAGTATGAGTGATGACAATAAAAGTTAACCATGCACGGACCAAGATGTGAAAGGTGGAATATTTACCATCAGGGTTATCGATATTCCTACAGTCATTATGGAGACATCTCTGGTTCAGACTTCCCATGAAGAGCTGCTGACCTACCAGGGCGAAGATGCTGAGGCAAAAGAGAGTCAGGATCATCACGTCAACAAGCTTCTTCACAGAGCGCAGCAAGGCCCCAACAATGACCTTCAGACCTGGGGAGGAGAAGGACTGGTGTGGGGAGAAGCCCCCACTTGCACACATAGCAGACAAGGGCAAGGGTCAGGAAGGGAACAGCCAAGGCCTCAAATATCACCCGGCTGCAGGTTGGAATCAGAAACTGGCCTGGCCTAGGATTCTGATGCCATGGGTTCTGGTTCTAACTCTGCCTGAGAAGTTGTATGGCATTGAGTAGTCCAGCAGTCTAGAGCTCAGCCTCTTCATCCTGCCCTGTGTCTGCCACAGGGCTGCTCTGAAAAATTAGTGAGAAGACTTTGAGTAGAAACATCCCATACAGACAACTTGATTACAGTTGTACAGACACCTCACAGCTGAGGATTTCATGCAGCACCAAGGCCAAAATGAGGCCACCCTAGAGGAGACAGACCTGTATTTAACATTCAGTAGTCATCACCTACTACAAGGTATGCAAGGTACCATGAGACAGTGCTAAATTGGGGGGCAGGGAGCTAGAAGGAGGAGCTTTGTCTGGACCCAGATAATGAGAATATTCTAGGGAAAAAAAACTCAGATTACTACTTATAATAGGTTTTTTTTAAAAATTCAAGAAATATTTACTAAGCTCCTACTGTGTCCATGGCACACTGCTAGGCTGCCAAGATACAAAATAAGAAAGACATAACCTTGTGGTACAATGGTAAATGTTTAAAACCAGCTTTCTGGGGGTGCCGGGGTGGTGCAGTCAGTTAAGCCTCTGACTCTTGATTTCTGCTCAGGTCATGATCTGAGGGTCATGAGATCAAGCCACATGTCGGGCTCTATACTCAGCACGGAGTCTGCTTGGGATTCTCTCTCTCTCTCCCTCTGCTCCTCCCCACCCCTGCTCTTTCTCTCTCTCTAAAATAAATAAGTCTTAAAAAAATAAATCAGCTTTCTGTGTGGGGGAGGAGTGTGTGTGCAGAGAAAGTCCTATCTATAGCATTTACAGATTTCTTTGCTGAATTATGTAGTGTAGATCCCTTTTCTCCCTCCAGAGAGCCCTCTCACCCTGCTGGTTTCAAGCTAAACTACATGACATCCCTGGATGCAGAGCTGGAAAAGGACATGCTCAATCTGCTGGTGAGGAGCCAGAACAAGTCAGCTCCAGTACACCACTGAGTCAGGGGCTCTGCTCTCAGCACAGCTGGAGAGATAAACAACCAGACATGTCTTACAATGTGTGAGATGGCACAAAGTGGCAACGTTTCAACTAATTGGTGTAAACCATGACTGGTAGACTTGAGAACAGAAAGCAACACCTAATGGGAGGCCATGCAGCAAATGACCCTTCCACAGTGTGATGCCACATAAGGAGGAGGCTTCAGGACAAGCTGGGACATTCACTGTATCCCCAGCTGCAGCCAAACAAGCAGATGCTTCAACCTCATCTACACTGGACTCTCATCTATAACAGCATGCTTGAGTCTTCTCCAAAGCAAGAGCATCTGGATGAAAGATGGCTCTGATTCCTGAATAATTTTTACAAAGTCCCTTAAATGATCCTACCTCACATCCTTACTTCCAAAAAGTATCCAAGGATCTTATGAGTTTCATGGGTCAAAATGGAGACTATGTTCACCCGCTTAGAGATGAAGAAGGAAACACTAGAGCTGCTAAGTGACTGCCTGATGTATATATTACCCATTGGAAACACAAGGCAAAAAGGCCCTAAATTTACCTGGAAAACCAAGGTCCACCTTGCAAAAGAGAAAGGAAAAGAGGAAAGGGACAAATTCTACATAAAGTGTCCTTGGCTGCCAGTTTATCACTATGTAGTTTTTTTTCTGAGGTTTCAAAAAATAACCCACTGCCTCTGTTTGAAAGGATCCAAATTGCCTAGAGTTTTGGTAGTGGAGCTAAGCATTGATAGAAGAGATTAGAAGGGAAGGGAAGAAGAAGGGGAGAGTGAAGGACTCCAGAGAGGGAATATCTTTTAGTAAAGATTTTTTAATGTAAAGGAAAAAGGAAGGAGAGGAGAAGGGTATGCCATAATAACCTCATTTTTTATAAACTCTGGTTCATATTCACAACCCATCCTTAGCTTCATCCTGATTCATAGAACACCTTCCTTACATAGCTTCCAGGATCCACCTTTCCCTCTTACTTTCTGGTGGCTCCTGCTCATCCCCTTTGCTGGTTTCTCCCCTTCTCCCTTCACCTTTAAGGTAGTGCCCTGGGACTCAGTCCTTGGCCCTCTTCTATTTTTCATCTAGGCTCACTCTCTTGGTGATCTTATCAGATTTCATGGCTCCAAGTATCATCTATAGGCTCATGATTTCCAAAATGATATCTCCAGCCCAAGCTGCTGCCTGGACCTCCAGACTTGTATACCTCATTACCTACTTGATACTTCCATTTGATGTCTCACAGCTATCTCAAACAGAGCACATCCAAAGCTAACTCCTCATCTGACCCCTAGACCTGCTCCTCTCACAGCCTTCCCTGTGTCAGTCTACGATGACTCCACCCTTCCAGTCACTCAGGCCAAAAACCTTGACTCATCCTTGACTCTTTTCTTTTGCTCACATCACACATACAATCAGCCTATCAGGAAATCCTATTGTTTCTACCTTCAAATTCATAGAGTCGGACAACTGTCTACCAATTCTTCTACCACCATCTGATCTGAGAGCACAACCATCTCTTTTCTTGGATTATGACAGTGGCCTCTTGTGTCATTTTGGGTTCTCTGAGAAGCAGATCCACTGGAACCAGAAGTGCAAGAGATCTGTTGGATGACCTGCCTGTGAAGAAGGGGAAGCGAGTACAGCTGGCTGGGAGAGCATCAGACTATGACACAGGGCTGACACCTGGGAAAGGAGAGTGGTAAGGAAGGAGGACCGGACAAGAAGAGCCTCAGACTGTAGTGCCACTGTGAGAGAGTCTCAACCAGGTTCCTGAGGAGCCCCTGAGCTAAAGTCCTTTAGGACTTTATCCTTTAGGAATGGGCCTGCACTAGTCCCCCTGACATGCAGGGAAAGTGTGATCTTGGCATGAACATGAATGCAGTTGTGAATCCAAAGATGTGGCAGCTGGGATCATCAGTCAGCTATGCTCCCTGCAGCAGGAGATCTGAGTGGCACATTTCCATGATGATCACCATGCCTCCTATCTGATCTTTCTGCTTCCACCTTTGCTCCCCCACATTCTATTCTCCATGCAACAGCCAGAGTAGTCCATTTAAAACCTGTCAGATTAGATGAATGGATAAAGAAGATGTGGTATATATTTACATACACACAGACACACAGACACACAGACACATACACACACACACACACACAGTGGAATATTACTCAGCCATAAAAAAGAATGAGATATTGCCATTTGCAACAACATGGATAGACTTAGAGGGTATTATGCTTAAGTGAAATAAGTCAGACAGAGAAAGACAAATACTGCATAATTTCACTTACATGTGGAATCTCAAAAACAAAACAAATGAACAAACAAAACAAAATGGAAACTCATAAATACAGAGAACAAACCGGTGGTTGCCAGGGGGATGGGAGGAGGGACATGAACAAAAGAGTGAAGGGGAGTGGGAGGCACAGGCTTCCAGTTTTGGAATTAAGAAGTCATGGGGATGAAAGGTACAGCATAGGGAACATAGTCAATGGTATTGTAATAGCATCACATGGTGACAGATGGGAGCTACAGTTGTGGTGAGCACAGCATAATTTATAGAATTGTGGAATCACTATGTTATACACCTGAAACTAATGTAACATTGTGTGTCACCTCTACTTCCATAAAAACAAATCAAAACAAAACCCCTGCCAGATCATGTGACTCCTCTGCTCAAAGCCCTCACGTGGCCCCCATTTTCTCAGAGCAAAGCCCTAGTCCTCCTAGTGGTTATGTGCCTCCCCTTCACTTATGCGGTCCCACTTCTACCACGCAGCCCCTCACTCTGTCTGCTCAGCCCCACCTATATCCTTTCTATTCCTCAGCCTGCACTACTGGCTGTCACCTGTGCGCAGAACACTCTCTGCCATATATCTGCTTATGAAACTCCCTCACTGCCTTCAAATCCTCTCCTATCTCCCATCCCCCAAGGACACCTATTCTGAGTACTCTATTGAAAACTGCATCCTGCATCCCTGAACCCCTGTGACTTCCAATAGCCCTCATGTTGTTTACTTTTCCTTTTTATTTTTCCATGGCACACATCACCTTCTAAACAGGATAGATAATTACCTCTTAATTATTGTTATTGCTTAGTGTCTGTCTCCCCACCCTGACCCAGAATGTGAACTCCATGAGGGCAGAGACCTCTGTCTGTTCACTCACTGTTATGATATACCCCAAGCAGCTAGCATGGTGTCTAGACATATGCTCAAATACACATTTATTGAATGATCAAATAAATGAGTAAAGCAGAATTTGTTTGGTTTTGGTTTACATGACATCTTGAGAAATTTTATATATAGAAGAACATTCCTCCTGCTAAGAGGCAATGTTGAAAATCAGAGTGACTTACCTGAAACCACTGAAATTGCTTTCAAAGCTCTGAACACTCGGAAGGTACGCAGGGATGACAGACTGAAGATGCTTTCCCTGGCTTCTGGTATGTATGTTGCAAACCTATAAGACAAAGCATAGGAAAAGTCTGGGCCTACTCAGTCCTACAGCCACACTGTATATCTCCACAAAGGCCACAAATAAACATGGGCCCTGTGTCTATCATGGTGAAATCTGGGGCCTCACCTTCTCAGCCTCACCTTCATCTCGGGGTCTGGTAATATTCTCTATTGCTGTGGACTACAGATTGCACAGGAGGCTGTGCTCATTTTTATATATATATTTTTTAAAGATTTTATTTATTTGACAGAGAGAAACACAGCAAGAGAGGGAACACGAGCAGGGGTAATGGGAGAGGAAGAAGCAGGCTTCCCGCTGAGCAGAGAGCCCAACACGGGGCTCGATCCCAGGACCCTGGGACCATGACCTGAGCCGAAGGCAGATGCTTAACGACTGAGAAACCGAGGCGCCCCCTCATTTTTATATTTGGACATAGATGAGGATTCCTTGAAATAGTATGCAGTTGTGGCTACATCCATTGATAATAGAAATCAATTGAAACACTTACTGACTACGCAGTTCCAGGCCCAGTGCACTTCCCTAAGGTCTCACTATGTGGCCAAGCCCGGAAGAAACCCAGGCAGTCTGACTCCAGAGCCCTCATCACGGCACCACACCACTTTTCAATAGCTAGGAGCACCCAATCATTGAATTTCAAGTGTAAAACTCTGCTATTAATAGCATCTACTTCAAAGGGCTTTCGTGAATATTAAATAGGAAAACGTGCAAAGTGCTTAAAACAATGACTGGCACAAAGTAAGTAATGTGAGGTTTATTATTATTGTGCTGGCAGTGGACCATTACTCTTCTTGTTCTTTATTTTGCTGACTCTGTTTCATCATTCAGATGCCAAACTGATGTCCTTTCCTTCAAGAAGAACTTCAACTCTCACCTCATGTCATATACAATATACATAATAATTAACTCGAAATGGACCATGGACTTAACCTTAAGAGCCAAATCTATAAAATTCCTAGGAGAAAATGAAAAAAAAAAAAAAACTCCTTGAGAGTGTGCAGTAGCCAAAGATTTTTAAGACTCTGTGGTTCCTCCTACACGTTCTGACAGCCCAATATATGCCCAATTCCTGTCCTAACACTCACCCTACCAGATTGTGATGGTTGTTAATTTTCTCTCTTCCCATCTGGACTGTGAGTTTCAAGAGGGTGAGAACCATGTCTGTTTGTTTTGTTTTGTTTTCATTATCACAACCCCTGTATCTTGCACAGAACTTGGCCCATAATAGGCCAGTGTTTGGGAAGTGAATGTCTGAAAGAATGAGAGCATGAATGTGGCCTAGAAATGAATTCATGCTGGAGGTCTCTGGCCAATCAGCTGCATGGTGCTGTTCAGGGCCAACCAACACTGTACTCAGAGCTCTAAGCATTATTAGGACACAATTACTCACGTAGACCCACACAAAGCCCACCCTGAGTTTCCTCAATAAACATCTTTGACATTCTTACGCTGTTACAATGACAACGGAGTCCAGCCAGTTCCATGGATCTCGAAGAAAAGAAAACTCATCCAGAATAAAACCTCTTGCCAATATTTTTATCAAAGCTTCAAAAATATAAATCCCAGTGAAGACATACCTATAAAGCAAATCATTCAGAACAAGAAGGAACATGATAAGTGATGTGAAAAGCAGGGAGCCCATCTGTCTTATCTGGCCTTTATGCAGTTTTATTCCATTTCAATGTGACATTTAACATTCTGATTTTCAGCAAACCAGAGTTCAGAGTGGTAGGTTCCTTAAGCAAGTTCTAGTAGTTAGAATTTCTGAGAAACAGGCCCACAGATAAAATTGTAAAGCTGCTCTTCAATGCCTAGCTCTACAACCATATTCTTGAGAGTTGTTTTAGCCAACATGGGACCTTAGGACTGGGGGCTGTCAGCGCTATTTTGTCACCACTATTCTAGAATTGTCACTTTGATGTACAGAAGTGGATGATGGCAAAGGAACAAAGAGAATAAATGATAAGGCTAAAAACTGGATCTTTCCATATCCCATGTTCATGGATAGGAAGACATAATACTAGTAAGATGTTTGTACTATTCAAAGTCATCTACAGATTCAGTGCAATCCCTATTAAAATCCCATTGATATTCTTTGCAGAAATAAAAACATCTATCCTGAAATTCATATGGAATTTCAAGGGACCCTGAATAGCTAAAACAATCTTGAAAAAGAAAAAGTTGGAGGTCTCATACTTTCTTATATCAAAACTTACCATAAAGCTAAAGTAATCAAAACAGTGTGGAGCTGGTATAAAGAAAGACATATAGACCACTGGACTAGAACAGAAAGCCCAGAAATAAGTCCTAACATATATGGCTAAATGATTTTCAAAAAAGATGCCAAGACTATTCAGTGGAAAAAGGACAGTCTTTTCAACAAATGGTAGCGGGAAAGCTCAATATCCACATGCAAAAAAATAAAGTTGGACCCCTACCTTATACCATGTACAAAAATTAACTCAAAATGGATTAAATAGCTAAGTGCAAGAGCAGAAACTATACAACTTCTAGAAGAAAATATTTGCAAATCATGTAAATACCCAGAATATACAACTTAACAGCAACAACAAAAACTACACCGTATACAAAAATAAACTTAAAATGGATTAAAGACTTAAATGTAAGAACCAAAACCATAAAATTCCTAGATGAAAACTTAGGCAGTAAGCTCTTTGACATTGGTCTTAGCAGTATTTGTTTGGATCTGTCTCCCCAGACAAGGACAACAAAAGCAAAAATAAACAAATGGAACTACATCAAAGTGAAAAGCTTTTGCACAGCAAAGGAAACCATCAACAAAATGAAAAGGCAACCTACTAAACGGAGAAGATATTTGCAAATGCTATATCCCATAGCCCCCTATGGGATAATACCCAAAATATATAAAAAACTCATACAACTCAATATCAAGCAAACAATCTTATTAAAAATGAGCAGAAAACCCAAATAGATAGTTTTCCAGAGAAGATATACAGATGGCCAACAGGCATATGAAAAGACACTTAAGGTCACTAATAATGAAGAAAATGCAAATCAAGACCACAGTGAGATATCACCTCACATTTATCACAATGAATATTATCAAAAAGACAAGAAGCAAATGTTGGCAAGGATGCAAAGAAAAGGGAACCCTTGTGCACTGTTAATGGGAATGTAAATTGCTTCAGCCACAATGGAAAACAGTATAGAGGTTCCTTTAAAAATTAAAATAGAAGTACCATATGATCCAGCAATTCCACTTCTGGAAACGTTTTCCAAAGAAAACGAAAGCATTAATTTGAAAAGACACACATACTGCTATGTTAATGCAGCATTATTTACAATAGCCAACATATGGAAGCAATCTAAGTGTCCATCAATAGATAAATGGATAAGAAGATGTGGTATATATGCACAATGGAATATTACTCCACCATAAAAAAGAATGAAATCTTGCCATTCATGACAACAAAGATAGACCAGAGGGTATTATGCTAAGTAAAATTAGTCAGACAGAGAAAGACAAATACTGTATGATTTCACTTATATGTGGAATCTAAAAGGCAAAACAAACAAAACAAAACAGACGCCTAGAAACAGAGAACAAACTGATGGTTGCCAGAGGGGAGGGGGATGGGAGATGGGGGATGGATGAAATAGGTGAAGGGGATTAAGAGATGCAATCCTTCAGTTATAAAATAAATAAGACATGGGGATGTAATGTACAGCATAGGGAATACAGTCAATAATATTGTAAGAATTTTGGGGCGCCTGGGTGGCTCAGCTGGTTAAGCGACTGCCTTCGGCTCAGGTCATGATCCTGGAGTCCCGGGATTGAGTCCCACATCTGGCTCCCTGCTCAGTGGGGGGTCTGCTTCTCCCTCTGACCCTCTTCCCTCTCGTGCTCTCTGTCTCTCATTCTCTCTCTCTCAAATAAATAAATAAAATCTTTAAAAAAAATAATATTGTAAGAATTTTGTATGGTAACTAGACTTACTCAGCCTTAAAAAGGAAGGAAATCCTGACACATGCTACAACATAGATGAACCTTGAAGTCATTCTGCTAAGGGATGTCACAAAAAGACAAATACTGTATGATTCCACTTAAATGAGGCACCTAGAGCAATCAAATACATAGCAACCCAACGTAGAATGGTGGTTGCCAGGGATTGGAGGGGCATTAGTGTCCAATGGGCACAGAGTTTCAGTTTTGCAAAATGGAAAGAATTCTGGAGATGGATGGTGGTTAATTGGTTGCACAACTCTGTGAATATACTTAATACCACTTAAAAATGGTTAAGATGGTAAATTTTTTGTAACCTGTATTTTACCACAATTAAAAAGAAAAACCTATTTCCATTCTCTTCCTTGAGTCTTTCATCATGATCTATCCTCTAATTTATTTCCCTTCTGCCCCTTCCTCCTTCAAAAACAAACAAAATAAGCAAATAAACAACAACAACAAAACCCCACAATATTCCATCTCTCTTGTTATAATCCCAAGCTGTCAAAAATGCTGGTTCTGTACACACACACACACACACACACACACACACACACACACACCACACACAGGTTCCCCTTTAGGGACAGAAACAATCAGTTCAAACAATCTAAACAATTTGTCATTTCACAGTAAAAGAAGTGGACCTTTTCTGGTAGAATATCCAGCCACTGTCAGCCCACAAGCCTAAAGAACTAAGGTCTTGGGAACTTGAAAAATCCAAAGTAACCAAATCCAAGGGAGAAATGGTTATGAGTGGCTCTCTGCTTCAGTCTTTTTGTTAAAGCTGATCACCTTTTAGGTGACAAATGAACACAGCAGATTAATTAATTCATGTCGGCCCTGAAACTCAGGTATAATTTACAAAGTTAAGGGTATTTTGGAAAAAGGCTGTAATTACAGATTTGTGGGATTTTGCAAGTCTCCATCTAGATCTCAGACAATTGAGGCAACAGCCTCTGGCTGCCATTTCTGCCTGACCACCCGGCCTCCCACCTCCTACCCCCCTCATTCTCTCTTTTCCAGCAGAAGCCTGGCCAATAGAGGGACAGGCAGTCCAACATGACATATGATATGGAGTAGAGCCATGTCCACCACCGGGAACAGGGCTTGGGAGCTCCATGATGGGGAAACCCCAACCCACCAGGCAAATAAGGCCCTCTGGAGTGTGTCACTGTCAGTTCAAGCATGGTTAGGGTATCCAGTCAGGGCCATGGGTGGTGTCCAGGTAGGTTAACAGAACACCATGACCTGATCCTAGGGCACTTTGGCATTCATTCTCTGAAAACTATCAGCTTAGAATCAATTTCCCATTTAAAAGTTTTCTAACCAAAGGACACTGACAAAACTAAAACTCTCCCCCCATGGGCCTAACAACTCTGCTACATGCCTTCTTTTTTTTTTTTTTTTTTTTTTTGAGAGAGAGAGAATGAGACAAAGAGAGCATGAGAGGGAGGAGGGTCAGAGGGAGAAGCAGACTCCCTGCCGAGCAGGGAGCCCGATGCGGGACTCGATCCCGGAACTCCAGGATCATGACCTGAGCTGAATCTGCTACATGCCTTCTTTTATAAAACCATTTTCAACAGCCTTCTCCCACCCCCACTTTCATGAATCCATTGCCAGTCCAAATGCCACCAGGGGACAGCAGCATCTTCCCTACAGCCTAGACAAGGGTCCTTCCATATCTCTGCCTTATGGGTCTTTTAGTAATGAAAATGGCCTTTGAGCAGATTAGCATCCAATTGGGCTACTGCTTTCCATTAATAGAAAAAGAAAACTCATTGCATCTTACCAGAAGTGCTGGCCAGGCAGACCACTGCTATGGGAGCAATCCCCATTCCTTGATCTGCCTCCTCCATAGATCTCACTTGGTTGACTACAAAGGCTTCCAGAGACACTGCAGTAAACAATGAGCAGCCCCTGTACTATCAGTTAGCTCCTTACGTGGAATAGCCAACTCTCTAGAGGGGAGACAATTTTCCCCAGTGATATTGCCAGGATGGTTTCTATTCCCGGGGGTGTCCACGCCCCTTGTTCCAAGGCACAGCCCTGAACTCACTGGCCTTAACTAGATCCCAAGTCCCACTTAGCAACAGAGAAGAAGCAATCACCTAAAAGTAATGCAAAGAAGGAAAGCTAAAAATAAAACAAAACAAAACAAAAAACACAGCAGGGAATTAAAATGAAGTACTACACATACCTGATTAACAAAAAAGAAGGCAGGAATGAAAGAACAGCAGAAGAGCAAAGGAACAAAAAACAGATGAGATCAACAGAAAATGGATAGAAAAACAGCAGACCTGAATTCAAGCATATTCATAATTATATTAAATGCAAATGAAATAAATATTCCATCAAAAGGCAAAGATTGAAAAATAGACCACATAATAAACAAGAACCAACTATGTGCTCTTTAGAAAAGATACACTATTAATACAAAAGATACACTATTACTACAAAAACACTAACATACAAAAATACAATACACTATTAATACAAAAAAGTGTTGAGAGTAAAAGGATGGCAAAAGATATGCCACACAAACAATGAGCCTAAGAAAGCTGGAGTAGCTATGGTAATCTCAGACAAAACAAATACTAAAAGGAATGATACTAGAGATAAAGAAAGACATTTCATAATGATAAAAGAATGCATACATCAGGAAGATATAATAACCATAAATCTGTACGTGCCTAATAATAGTGCTGCAAAAATACACGAAGCAAAACTTGCCAAAAAGAAAGGGGTAATAGACAAATTCACAAATCATAGATGGAGACTTCAAGCCTCTCAGTAATTCATAGAAGTACTAACAGAAATGATAAAAGGATAAAATCTAAATGACACTATCAACCATCTTAACCTAACTGACCATTTTCAGAATATCATACCAAACAACTGCAGAACCCACATTCTTTCAAGTGCATGTGAAACATTTCCCAGGGTAGAACCATAAAATAAGTTTCTCCTAATTTCAAAAGATTGAAATCTTACAGAGTATATTCTCTACAACTAAATTAAATTGGAAATCATTAACAATAAGACAACTAGAAAAATATAAAATATTTGGAAATAAAAAACAACACTTCTGAATAACACATGGGACAAAGAAGAAATCACAAGAAGAAGTAGGGAATATGTTTAACCAAAAGGGAATAAAAACACAATGTAACAATATCTGTGAGATGAAGCTTTAGCAGTGCATGGATGGAAATTTGTACAAGAAAAGAAGAAAGATCTCAAACCAATTAAGTTTCTACCTTAAGAAGCTAGAAATAGAAGAGCAAATTAAACTCAAAGTAAATTGAAGGATGATATTAATAAAGACTTTGAAACCTTCATATATTGCTGGCAGAAATATGAAACAGTGCAGCCGCTTTGGAAAAGTTTGGCAGTTTCTTACAAAGTTACTCATATACTTATCATATAACACACAGCAATTCCACTCCTAGGTATTTATCCAAGGGAAATGCAAACATATATCCACAAAAAGACTTTTATACAGAAATGTTCATAGCAAGTTTGTTCATAATAACCAAAACCTAGAAACAACCCACATGTCCATCAATAGGTGAATGGGTAAACAAATTGTGGTATACCCATACAAAGGAATACAACTCAACAACAAAGAGAGGAAAAGCTAGTGATATAGACAAGAGCATGGATGCATCTCAAAACATGCTAAGTGGAAGAAACCAGACATGAAAGTATGGTATATACACCATATGAGTCCATTATATGAAATTCTAGAAAAGGCAAGACTAGCCTAGGGTGACAGAAAGCAGATCAAGCCTTGCGTTGGGAGTTGGGGTGAGGGGATTTACATGCCAAGAGGCATGAGGAAACTTCTAGGGTGTCTGGAATGTTCTGTAATGTTGATTGTGGTGGTTTCTATCACATAGTTAAATATGTGATCCAAATAAGAGATCTCTTATTAAAATAAGAGATCTCTTATTATTCTGTCAATTTATTATTCAATATATTCCTGAAAGACTAAAGCAGTAAATACGTTAAGTTAGAAAAACTAAGACAATATATAAGAGAATATTTATTAAAATACAGAACTTTCTAAGTTGAAAAATTAACTTGTATGTCTGAATAGCCAACTAAAAATTACAAAAAGTTAATATTTTAATTATACAAAGAACTCACTCAAACTTACCAGGATAAAAGCAAAAATGATACATGGGGAAAAATGGGAATACACAATTCACAAACTAAAACAAAAAAGTCCAACCCATCCAGAAATTAAGGAAATGTAAATATTTTCAACTCTATAAATTAATAACTTTTCCAAACATTTTGGAAAATATTTTGTCAACATATATTTTTCAAGCATTAAATGTACCTTCTAATCCAGCAAACCCATTTCTAAGACTATCCTAAGGAAATGGTAATTTTTAAAAAGTAGTTATATGCAAAAATGTTGCCTGTTGTAATATTTATAGTAGTAAAATACTAGAATGGTTAAGTAAATTATTGTTTATTCACCTGATAAAATATTATATAATCATAAAAGTAGATTCCTATAAAGACTATGTAAACACAAAGAAAACCACTTAAAAGCTAAACATAAAATTTGTATGTGTGCTGTTTATTATTTTAAAATTTTAAAAACAATTATAAAAAATATGCCAGCATTTGTGTTGGGGAATTGGGATTATGGGTGAGTTTGTCTTTCTCTATATATCTGAATTCTGATGTAATTATAAGTCTTTTAGGTGTATTTGTTTAAAACCTTAGGACGGACATGTGCAGGACACACACTTACTCAGCATTGTCGGTATCTATATTGCTGTTTTCCTTCCCGTAGGCAGTGGCCATGAACACGCAGTTGATGATGACGGTGCAGATGATGAACATGCTGAACACTGTGACTGCTGTCCGTTAAGGCAGGTACACTACAGGGTGGCACATATCATCAGTCATAGTAAAGGCTGTGGGCATACCTCCAGGTCTCCTTTTCTGCAGGTGCACCTGTCTGCTTACTGTGAGTGTTGGCGAAGAACAACTCATAGCTGTCCCCTCCTCTGAAGAACTGTCCTCAGCCGAATGGCAGCCTCCTCACCTGGAGGGCTACAACCCCCTTCCTCATGTCTGACTGCCTGAGACTTAGAAAAAGCTGGCCCCTTGCTTCCAGGGGGGCAGCTCTGTGACATAATTAGTGCTCCAGAGCTCCCGGTGGGCTCAAGCTGATGTGGGATCAGCTGAGACCCCGTTCTTACTAGCCTCCTCTTTCTGCTCCATCCTGCTTCCCTCTTTCCTTCTCCAGAGAGCACTCCTCAACTAAATCACTTAAATAAGAATCCCCATCTCAGGCTCTGCTTCTAGGGAATACAACCTGAATGGTTATTCCTTCCCATGCCCCCAGTACTTCATTATGTCTACCAGTCTATGTCTTTCTCACCTGTCCCAGTCTAAAACTGCCTGGTGTCACCACTCCCTGCTGCACACATCAGGAATGCTGCCTGTCTTTACTCTTTAAGACTGAGTTTGGAAACTCAAAGTCTTAAGAGTTTGGGGAGTCATTTAAATGGGTGAAATGGGCAGATGCTGGGTCACAGAGAGGGGTGGAGATGTGGTGAAGCAGAGCTGAAAGAGACAGTGGTTCCTTACTACACCGATTTTTGCCAGGTAGGAATGCAGGCCTAGACTTTATAGAGGTTCCATCTTCAAAAGATGTTGGAAATCTGGACTTTTAACATTATAGGGTGTTTCCATAAAGTTTTAAACACTGTTAGATCCAACACAACACATTTAGCGGCTAAATAAAGAGCACAGGTTGACAGTTTGCAACTTTGTTTGGGTCTCAACTTAGATGATCCTTTCTCCAGGAAGTCATCCTGGATGCCTCCAAAGCACAACTACCACTCCCAAACTGCCCATCTCACTAACGAAATCGCCTGCCTTTTGGGCCTGTCTCCTTCTGGGGCCACAGGATCCTAGAGCGGGGGCTAAGTCTTGTTCACACACAGCACCAGCACAGCCCCCGCCATGCAGCAGTAGGCACTCAGCCAGTATTTGATCCAAGAATGAGCTACTTCCACTCAACCAGCATGTGAACAAGCTGGGGCTCTTGCACTTTTCACATGACCTGGACTTAGTAAAAGATGCAATGAAAAGATATGAATGGACCGAGATTTTGATGGCTAAACTTCGGATTGGATTGAAAGGCCCAAAAATGAACAAGGCACGCTTGGCACTAAAGCGGTAGATTGTTCTCTTTTTGTTCAACACCATAAATGTCTGCAAAAACAAACAAACACAACAAGAATTACATGTAGTGACAAAACAATATTTCTCATGAGTTCATTTAGAGAAAATTCAGTGGAACCACAGATTGAGGTGTGGCTTGTTTTATTATGATCATGCCAGTTTCTAATTGGAGTGCTGTCATTCTGAAGTCTGATACTTTCTGACCAGCCTACACTGTGACTCTGGACACCAACAGATCTACCATGTGGCCTAGGTCTCAGAGTCCCAAGATAAGTACTGGGCTGTGGACTGTTTACCCAGTGTAATACTCTGGAGGCTCCAGAAATGGAGCATATAGACCCTGCAGATAAACAAGGGTGGAGACTAGTAACCGGGGCAAGCAAAACCCTTCATATTGTACTCCATGGTATGTGTCTATGGCGATAAGAACTAGAAGGGAACTTGGAGAGATGGAAGTAGTACTGAACATTCACATTCAGCAGATTATTTTAAATTATTTTGATTACAAATGAAAACTTCGTAACAAATCTTAGAATAGTCAGGGACCTAGAGAGTCCATATTGTTGTACCTGAGCAGTTCTACATGAGATAGTCTATCAATCAATTCTAACCTTGAGGATCATCAACAAAAAAGTCATCAAGTTTCCCAGACTTGTTCTCCTGTTCCCACAGACATTCAGGCAAATCTGCCTGTGGTTCCCAGCTGGTGGGAGAGGCCCTACAGAAGGCATCTGGAAATGCATGTGGGTGTTTTTGATTGTCTGTCACAATTACTGGAGGCCCTACTGGCCTTTATTGAGTAGTTCTAGGGATGCCAAACCCGGGACAGATCTGCTAAATGGTATCCTGTCCCATCCAAAATGCCCACCCTGCTCCACTGAAGAATACCATACCTGCACCCATTTCTTCCTAGTAGGTCTTCCTGGGCTTTGGGAAGGAAGCGGCCCCTGGACAACAACCCATCATTCACAGGCTTCTAACATCAACTCCCAGACCTCCTTTTTTCCATTTAGCTGTAATCTGGCTGTCCCCTTATATGTCCCTAAGGTTTTAGTTACAAAAGCCTTCACAGAATGAGGGTCATTCCTGTTTCCCCATGTCTCTGCTCCTTTAAGATTTGCAAAAGTACTACTTGACATGTAATACAGTATGTTCTTATACAGAAAAGACAGGCCTTATCACCCAGGCCCAATATAGCAGGGTGGATGCTGCCTTGGCTAAGGTACCAGAACTTCAGTCACTGCCAACCATCAACCGTCCTTCGTTGTGTTGCTGGAACTTACTTGTCTGCTGGCCATCTGGCTGCAGGAAAAAATGGAGTAGGATATTTTCTGTTGCCTCTATAACAAAAGGAAATGGGCCACAGAGTTCTTTGAAAGCTATGAGCTCAGGAGCCCAAGACCCACTTTAGGGATTCTGGGCCTTTCCTTTGGATAGAAAGACAATTTTAGGGCAGAAAGCAAATCTCTCCTTGAGGTGGATCACCCAGATTAATAGGTGGCATGATATGGCTCTGCCTCTGTGCCCCTTGATATTTTATTAATGCTATCTCTGACTGCTTTAAATATTTCAACTAATGGTGTATTTAACTATACTCACCAGGGTTTTAATTATTAAAATGATAGGTACCAGCTCCTTCTGTCTGTTTGCTGAATCCACCCCTTTCTCTGTAGCTCTTCAAAATGGAAATTTCTAAAGATAGGAAGTAGCCTTAGACTACAGAAGGAGCCCGTGGGTTTGAGTCACAACTCCATTCCTTACTGGTTGTTTGGCCTGGCCCAATCCACTTCCCCATCTAGTCGTTGGATTCCTCATCTGCGGGGTGGAGTGGTAACTACCACATATATCTCACATGACTACTGAGAGTACCAGCCACATGGGGTCATGAGTGTGCAGAACTCTAAAAGAGTATCATGTCTTCTGATTTAAAGGGAGAGCCCAAGCTAAGAAGAGATGATTCTAGAACAGAACCTATCTTCCCAGGACTGTCTGCAGCACACCAAGCTGCTGCCTGCTCCAGCCTTGAGGCAGAAGACCTCCAGCAGTTAACTCACAGTTAACAACTCTGTCTCCAAGAAGGCCCTGGAATTCTGGGGCATAAGAAGGAGAAATACTGGACTGTTTTTGTTCCCTCATCTCTCACCCCTTTCTTGTTTTTCCCACTCACACCCCACTTTCCTTTATACACATAGTTCCCATTTGGCCTGGTAATCCTAGGTCTGTCCTAATACAAGAACATACCAGGCAACATTTCTCTGGAGAGATCAATTTCTTATGGTTGCCAGTAGAAAATGGTCTCAGTGGCTCATATTTCTGCCCAAATTTCCTTCCTTCTGAACTCAGTCTGGTGAGGTAAGTTTTCCATTCTCTGCTGGATCACATAGTGAGATGATGATGGTAAGGTCTTCTGAGATTTCCTGAAAGGGGAGTACTGTCCTCACTGCCCCAGGCTTTCAAAAAGCCATCAGAAGAGCCCAGAGCTCACAGTTCCTCACTCAGGAGCCCCTTTAAGGAACTTTCACTAGAATTTCCCTACAAGAACTATATTCAAGTAGGTTAAACAGTGGTAGCAAAGGAGAAGGACAGACATCCCTGCAAACTCCAAGATCAGTGTTTGGAGATTCTTATAATAGCCATTATAACTGCATGGTTAGAACACCCCAGACCTCATTCAACTACCTTATGATTTTTGTAGAATGGGTCCAAGTCTTCCAGGGGCCTTGCTATCAGCTCATGGGGAATGTCACCATAGAGTTTGGGCAACTTCCTGGAGACCTTTAGGTCAAGCTGAGGTCGAGGCTGGGGTTCTGCTGCTGTCTGGTCTTTGCACTTCTTTTTCTCCTTTTGGATGGCAATCCTCTTCTCAATTGTAGCCAGAGTGTCAGAAGTGAAGGGACGGAAATTCCGCTCATCTGGAAAGATCACTGGGTAGCACCTGTCATCCATTTTCATCCTCGAGACAGAGATAAGCAGTAGATCCTCAGAGAGCTCTGAAAGGTAGAAATCACACAGCCTGCCCTGGAATTCCACTTTCCAAGGATGAGGTCATGGGGGACTATAAGAATTAAGTGAAGTGAGGGGGCTTGGAAGCTCATTGGCTGTGGAGCAGGTCAGAAGAGGTGACCACCATTGTAAATACAGCAGGAATTTGGGGCACAGGGAAAACCAAAGGAGGCCATCATTCTTGTAGGACCTGGGTGTAAATGGTAAGTTAAGTTCAGGAAAAATGGGCAGAAGAAGCCCAGTCTCTAAAACTGAGACCCAAGCACTGAGCAAGACAGTAAGACTGAACCCACCGAACTACTGAAGTGGGGCCTGCAGATGGTGGCCCAGTGGCTGTAGTGTGAACAGGAGCAGAAAGAATAGGGAATTAATTGGGACATAGCTATGGGTTGCAAAATCAAAACTGTAAGTGCATGCGTCTTCTCACTGTTTGGTCAGCAAAGTTCTTACAATGTGATGGAATGGAAACAAAGAGGCTATACACACAGGCACAAACATTTACACTAATACCTATGATTCTATGCCAACTTTCTTACTTCTGAGACCCTGATCTGGCAGAAATGAGACCCCAAGAAAGCAGAAAGGATTTGCCAAAGCTAACAGGGTCATTCTGCCATGGGCTAATAGCTGTACTGACCCCTATCCCTGACAGCCCTTTCTACAAGGACTTCCTCTACAACCTCAAGTTTAAAAGTAGGCTCTGAGAAAATGCAGTAGTGCTCAGGTTAAATGCCTTTACTCCCCATGCCAAGCATCCTCTTCCTTTCTTATATACCTGAATGCCAATCTAATATTGATTCCCAAGGCACTCCAGAGAATTACAATGGGTAATCCAACATAGCATTGGTTTGTTCATTCAGCAACCCATGTGCTCAGTGTCTGTTCTAGGAACACTGCTAGGCACTAATGGAGAAGAAACAACAGCCCCTCCTCCTGGTCCTACAAGTTATGCTGCCCTGGTGTCGTAGGGGTGAAGACAGATAAAAGACAGGAAATTACAACAGAGTAAGACAGATGCTAATATAGGGAGAAGTAGAGGGTGCTATGTTTGTGCATGGGATAGGTGTCTAACCAGTCTTGGGGAATCAGGGATGATCTGCCAAAGCTTTAATGTCCCAGTTGAGACCTGAAGGGGATGTAAGACATAGACAAGAAAAAGGGAGGACATTAGAATGTGGTAGGAGAAACAAACAGCATGTACAGGGACCCATGAGTGAAAAAGAACATGGTGTCTGTCAACAGGTTCTGTGTGCCACGGATGGAGATTCTGTGGGATGGATGGCCAGATAAGGTTCCAGTCAGCATTGAGAGAGCATGTGGGGCCCTATAATCCTTAGTAAATATCATGGATTTCACCCTGAGGGTGATGGGGAGTTGCTAAAGAGTGGGTTGTTGCTGTTGTTGTTGTTGTTGTTGTTGTTGTTACAGAGGAGTAACACTATCAGGTTTTTAAAAAATATCCCTCTTACTGATGAGAATGGATAGGACTTGGGACGAGGGGCTGAAAGAGGTGAGGAGCTGGAACTACAGAGATTGTTGCAACAATCATAACCACTAAGGATGACCTAATGGAGTGGGTAGATCTGATAGTCACTTAAGAAATAGCCCTGACCAGTGCTTTATGGGGAGGGAGAGATTTGAGGGACAGGAAGGAGCTGAAGTTCCTGGCTTGGGCAGCTGGGTCAACACAGTGCCGCTCACTCAGACAGTGAGCACTAGGGAAGGAAGAAGTTTTGGGGGAATAAACTGAATTTAAAACAGATGGAATTGAAGCTGTTTGTGGAACCTGCAAGTGAAGAGAACCAAGAGGCATTTGAATACAGAGCAATCATAGCTTACACGTTAGCCTCTGAAAAAAGCATATTAAAAAAAAACAACAACATAGACTTCTCTTGAAAATCCCTCAGGAAGGCACCATACTGATGAGGCACCCCAACTCAGTGGTCAACAAGGTCAATACGGCCAATTCTTCTTCTGGTGCTAGAACCGGTTACCCTTTCTTCAGTTAATCCACAAATTGGTCAGATTGTGTTTAAGGGCCATGATAAAGGCAACATATGTGTCTTTAACATACTAAGGGTAATGTGATGCCCATAGTGTGAGTCATATATCAACTGAAATGACATAGGGAATCTAGATTCTGTTCCATTCATTCAGGGTCAAGCTCTTTATGAATGTGCTGGGTGATGGAATTGGCCACCCTCTTAAATTACTCTCTCTCTCTTCCCACCCCTCCACTCCTCCTCCCTTCCATTCCACTCCCCTCTCTCTCATAAACATATATGATTGAATTGGTATTAATGAAGTGGAAATATAATGAGACTCTACTGTATTTGGTTCTAGAGCTCATGAAAGACATTTGAGACAGGGATGGAGTCCTCTGCAGTCAACAGTATATGAATGTTAGGTGATCCTAGAAAATAGATGAGCCGAGAAAGACCCTGGATGGCAAAAACCAGACCTTATGCTAAGTTATAGCAAGGAATCCAGTACAGGGCTGCTATCATAATAAGGAGACTATTAAAGAAGAAACTGGACACTCTGCCCCTGTTGTTCTGACCCTGGGGATATTTTGCTCAGTCTCTAGTAGAAAAGAGGCTTGATGAAATAAGTAACACAAAATAAAATTGAGAACCCCAGAAACTGTGCACATTAAAATTTGTTATAAATGCTGAAATAGCTAAAGAACCACGTGTTAAAGTTGACATTGAAAACTACAAAAATTGACCCGGGAATAAGAGGACTTTATAAAAATATCAACTCAAATAAATCTGACAAAATAAAATCACATGCAGTAAAATTTTCTTAATAACTGAAAAAATTGATGAAAGAATCAAATATTTTTAATAAAAGCAGACTCAGGATAACTGGACTATAGAAATACAGGCTGTGCATGCAAAATTAATTAAATTAATAAAAATCAATATGGTATAATTGGTAAAAATTTGGAATGATTCAAATCATCATTGTGAAATTTATACCTCATATATTTAATTCTGAAAAATTTTTCTGCACAGAAAATGGATTGCATTGCATGGAAAATTGGTTGAAGAATTAAATTGGCTAACGTACAATTCTTTCCCAAGCTTCACTAATAATCAAGTATGATGGCAAATTTTTCAGACACTGAATGACTTTTTACAACAAAATTATTTGAGTATATGCTCCCAAACAATGAAAAGAGAAGCCAAAAAGTGGTGGATGCTTGAAATCCAAAACATAGTGTACCTAACCCAAGAGTGCAATAAAAAAATTCCAGGTAACTGCACTACAATCAGCTTAAAAAAGCAATTGATCCAACTAGAATTAGAAGTCAGAGAGCCCCCAAAATCCTAAAGGAGAACACAGGCAGCAACCTCTTTGACCTCAGCCGAAGCAACTTCTTCCTAGAAACATCGCCAAAGGCAAGGGAAGCAAGGGCAAAA